ATGGACTAAGCATCTTTGCTCCACCATCCTTCCACCATGAGGTTTCTTCCTTGGAGCCTGCTGATCATGTACTGAATCTCCTGAAACCACAAACTAAAGTATACCTTTCCTCCTTTAAATTGTGGGTGTGGGGTGCTTCAGTGATGGAAAACCTAACTAATGTACCATCCCACACTCACCACAAAACCCAGCACTGAACAGCAAAAGTATGCTTCCTGGAATAGGAGTGATAATACTTATGATCATTTTTTTCTCTACTAAAGCAATCAAAAGACAGAAAAAAATAATTTTAAATGAGAACAAAAACTAGGCTCCTCAAAATTTATTTATAAATAATACATGCATTTTTCAGAAGGTATCCCCCAAAGAAACAAGAAAACTAATATAAATGCAGAAGAGATAGCAAGATCTATCTTGCTTGAGGCTAGAGATATAAAATTTCTTAAAATGTTTAAACTCTAAAGGAAAATCCTAATTTTAATTTACATGCATTAAGAAGAGAAAGAAAAGCTGTTGCAGAGAAATCAAAATAAATATAATATGCTTGTACTATTTACAGTCTTTTTTTGTTAGTCAAGGGTATAAAATGTTATGTAACTTGGATTACTTATGAAAATGTCAGGTTTTTTTTCCTCCAAACTCCCTATCCAATTTGACCACACTCTATTTTTTCAGTCTAACCCATTTTACATACCTTAGGCTCTAACCAGTTTACATAACTGGCCTCAGTCTCCCAGTTATTCACACAATTTCTACTTCTTCAGAAGGACATTTAAGAAATATCGTTCAGCAATCTGATCCATTTACCACTGCTAAAAATGTTTCTTAGCTATTTTATTCATCATTTTACATTTTTCTAAAAGATAAAATAAACCTGAAGATGGAAAAAAGGACTTTTCATGGTTTTTCCTATTTTGTTTTCCTTTATCTCCCTTTGGGCCTTCGTATTTCTAGTTTAGGGTCCCAAAATCACAAATATATTTTTGAGAAATGACTGGGTCTAACCACAGGTCAACATGGAAAAATAATCCTAAAATAGTGGTGTCCTGCATGGCATATTTTGAAAGATCCTTCACCATAACCTCGAACCTACCTTATGGTTTCAAATTCCTCCTATGTAACAGTATATACTTTTAGGTAGAAGCTTTGGACTTTCTGTCAAAATGAAAGTGACCATGGAAAAGAAATCTCACTTCTTTGCTCAAAATTGTCCATTGATGTCCGTCTGCCTATCAAATACACTCTAAGTTCTTCAGCTGGATTCAAAGCTCTTGGAGATGGGCTCACCCTGCCTTCCTAACACTGTCCCCAGTATTCTCCTTCAGAAACTCAAAATCACCACTCAACAGGACGCCTGCACTTCGTGTTCTGAGCATGCCCAATGCATTCCTTGTGCCAGTCATTTTATGTTCCCAGAGCACCTCCCTCTATACTTAATCATGCATGCTTATCACTACCCCATCCAGCCTACCTCATTACTTGCTCTGTAGCACTTCAACTCTACCTTAATTATAATTTAACATGTGTGTATATGTATACCTACATATACATATATATTATACAGTATCCCTGATTTGTTAAGAACTTGTGAGGTTTGAAATAATTATTCATCCCATAAATGTTTATTTAGTTCCTATCACGTGTCAGGTTCTAGGAACTGGGATACCACAATGAAAAAGAAAGACAATCCAAGCTCAGTCAAGCAAAAACAGGGGAGGAGGAATGTATTGGCTCATGTAATTGAAAGGCTAAATTTGGTCTCAGTTACAACTGGATCTAGGAATGTCATGAATCTCTTTCTCTCCCACCTTTTCCTCCCAAAATATTTATTTTAATTCTGCTTTCACTAGATATTCTTCAGTCTCTACCATGATTTCTTCACAGAATAATAAAAATGGCCACTGTCAGCATTAGGTTTTAATCATCCTGGAGCCAATAAAGCCAAAGAAAGCAGTGTTCCTTTCCCAGGGAAAAGGCATTTTAGGGATCTGCTGAACAGAGGTTGAGCCGGGACATTTAGCTTGAGCTTTTCTATGTGTCTGTCAGGTACTTTTGTGTGTATTAAGTCATTTCTAGCCATTGTGATGCAGAAATGTCTTCCAGAAATACTGCTGCCCCCAATGTGGTGATTCAGTCAGTTTTACAGTGTGAAGGGTTTACATCATAGCCTGATCACAAGTAGCATTAGAAGTATTGCGGCAGCCCAAGAGAACTGAAGTTTGACTTTTACAATCTATTTATGGGAAATTCTTCCAATCACATATATGTACAATCCAAGCACACAACTCAGTTTTGTTATGTCTAATCAAGATACGCACTCCTCAGCACAATGCACAGGATCATAAAAGCCCCACCACACTTTCCCCCTCCTTGATGGAGAAAAGCAACATCGAACATATCAGAATCGTCATGCTTTGAGGACAGATTGGTGAAATTACACGTTTTGTTCATCCCAGTGTATCATATCTTAGCCCATCTGATCCCTCTCATCCTGATGAGGAAGATAGCTTCAGAAGAAAATATTTGCAAACTGGCCCTTCCAGAGTGATGAGATCACAAGAATATGCAAATACACCCAGGTTGAACTTTATTTATTTTTTAAACTCAAGTAATGTATCTTTCTTTTGCCTGTAAAGGTGGGAGGCCTGATTGTATCACATGACATCACTGCATGACTAAGCCCACCAGAATTCCAGACATAGAATCTAGTAGAAAACGCACCATCTCTCGATTACCAAGAACATAAGTATTACAAACTCAAAGAAACTCCAAAGAAAAAGAAAAATGGCCCAAAGAAGCTAACATTTTTTTCACACCTTAATGACTTAAAAGTTAATGACTATTATAAAGGAGTGATTTGGTTACATGATTGTATTTGTTATCCATTGCTGCTTCACAAATGATCTTATAATAGTTCCCCAGGGCTAGCATAACAAATTACCACCAAAAAAGATGGCTTAAAGCAACAACAACAAAAAAAATCTCCTGTAGTCCTGGATGTTGGGTGTCTGGAATGAAGGTATCATTAAGGGCACAGTCCCTTCTGAGCCCTCTAAAAATCCTTCTTTGCCACACCTAGCTTCTGATAGTTCCTGAAAATCCTTAGTGCTCCTTGACTTGCAGTAGCATCGCTGCATTCTCTGCCTTTGTTGTCCCGTGACCTTCTCTTCTGTGTCTGTGTGTGTCTTCTTATAAGAACTCTAGTCCCTGGATTAAAGACTAACCCTACTCCAATAGGACATCAAGTTAACCAGTTAAAATCTTTAAAACCCTATTTCCAAATAAGGTCAGATTCTGAGGTTCTAGGTGCCACAAATTTGGGAGGACATTATTTAATCAAATATATACTCCAGAATTCGGCATTTTAAAACAAGGAAGGCCAGGTGTGGTGGCACATGCTTATAATCCCAGCACTTGGAGCCTGAGGCAGGAAGATAGCAGTAAGTTTGAGGCCAACCTGGGCTACATAGTGAGTTCAAGATCAGCCTGAACTACAAAGAGACCCTGTCTCAAAAAAAAAAAAGATGAAGATCTTTGGGGGCCATCTCAGAGATTGCCTACTACAATATTAATGCTGCTCAATTCTTCAAAGCAGCAGTTTCTAAAGATATCTAAATTGTCTCTTCATATGCCTTGATTTCAGATTAAATTGAATTTTACTCAGAATCATTGATGATTCTAAATTTTAAAAATGTTACAGATGTGTGTGATAAAACTAATCACTAAAACAAACCCAGAAATACAGCAGATGCTCAAAGTACTCCCAGGAAGACTGCTAACTTGCTGTGCACAAAGACTGCCTATGTCTTCATGCTTCATCAAGCACTTTTTAGACTAAGAAGAGCATCCCACCTTCTCCTACGGTTTTGAAATCAGCAGAAGCAGGCAATCATCCATCAACGGCCTGAGAAAGAAGACATGAGAAGAAACACAGGGGTGGGGGATACTGGGGACAGAAATCCAAGAGTACCTCCAATAAGGAGGAACAGTAACAAATACTAAGCATGCTGTAAGACTCCCTGAGTCATATTTAAACAAAAGTTGGGCTGGGGAGATAGCTCAGCAGCATAGCACCTGCCTGGCAAGCACAAGGTCCTGAGTTCGATTCCCGGGACCAAAAAAAAAAGTTGAGGCTGACGTGCTCTACCACCAATTAATTGGTTTGAGTTTGTAATACTTATATTCTTGGTAATCAAGAGATGGTGCGTTTTCTACTAGATTCTATGTCTGGAATTCTGGTGGGCTTAGTCATGCAGTGATGTCATGTGATACAATCAGGCCTCCCACCTTTACAGGCAAAAGAAAGATACATTACTTGAGTTTAAAAAATAAATAAAGCTCAACCTGGGTGTATTTGCATATTCTTATGATCTCATCACTCTGGAAGGCTGAGGCAGGAGGGCTTTGAATTTGAGCCCATCCTAGGCAATTTAGCAATTTACAGAGATTCTGTCCCAAAATAAAAAGGCCCTGAGTTCAATCCCCAGTAATATAAAAATTAATTAATTAATTAAATATAATCCCATTAAAGTAACAAAACATTAATGTCATCAATTCATGAGTAACTAACATTTATGCACATTTTAAATGATGCAGTATAGGAAAGATAACTAATAAATTATAAACACTTAGGCACAAGTAAAGCAACTCTCTCAGCTTCCACAACTGCTATTAGCACTGCTTAAATTTTCTCTGGATATTTAACGTCTGGGTCTGGTAGTAGTACCCTGTGGCTTCTCAGCAGCTTGCAGTTCGCAGTTCTTAGTTAATTATAGTAAGCTGGTGCTGTGCCCCAGGGAAAGAATTTCATTTTGCGTATGTGATGCTAATTCTAGAAAAATCCTCAGGTTTCCAAAACTTTCTTGCTTTAAAGAAAACCCACTTCGGAGTTTACTAAGCTTTTTTTCCTGTAGGATGCTTACAAGTATCCTGTTGGCAGCCCTATATGACCCTCTTTTCCTGGAGAGGTAGAGATAGAGATAGAGATAGAGATAGATGCTGCGCCTCAGTCCCAACGTTCTGACCAAACACCTCTCCTCTGTAATCTCCATTCCATCTCCGTCCTCCCAAGCAAAGCTAGAAAGTAATGCACCAGGTACTAATGGAGCTGGAATGTCACAACTGTCTTCATGGTCAATAATACAAAGAAGGAGAACACGTGATGGAACCCAGCAGCACTGGCCTGTGCTTTACAGTAAGTCCTCGATCTCCAAGAGCCCCACAGCCATGGCAGCCATGAGGCTTTGATAAGGGCTTGTGTTTTCTCGGATTTTCCTGCTTGCAGCTGGCTTGTTGGCCTCCTAGGGCAGCGCACATCCTTAAGGAGATAGGAAAGTGAAGTGAGTCATTCATCAGTTCCTCCCTCTCTCATTCCATCATTCTCCACCCCATTCCAGCAAATATTGATGAGTCAGCATTTAGTGGAACCTTACCACATGTTAGGAACTCAATCTAAGTATGTTTCTGGTATAATCTCAGTTAAAGGATCACACTATGGTTAAGAGCATGGTGTGACTCGGGTCGGACTGCTTGACTTCAAATCCTGCTCCACCACTTCCTGCATGACCTTGGATATATAACTTAATCTCTCTGTGTTTTAGCTCTTCCTCTGTACAAAGAGCTAAAAATGGGGTTCATGGAACAATTGGGGAAATTAAATGAGTTCATAGAGAGAGAAGATGTCAAAGTACTTGGCACATCCTAAGTACCATTTAAGTATCAGCTAATCACATTTCTGGATTGAAGTTGGTTTATGATGAATTTGGCTTTTTTCCCTTCATGACATTTCAAGGGAGTAAAACTTGACATTCTGCTCTTTATTCATTCTCATAAAATGTGAAGAATTTCCAAATAGAACCTTTTCATGAAAGACTCATGACCTAAGTGGAATTAGATAACTAAAAGTTAAATATAGTTCCTACAGGTTATTTTGTTTAATGTTAGAAATTTTGGAATGCCAAATAATTCTCTAAAGATGAGAATTACATAATCTATTCTATATTTCTCTACTTTGTGTTACAATTCATTTAATGTTATATATATTTTCAGTTCCAAAATTATGTACTTTTTTCAAAAGTACCCTAGCTAATGTTTTATCTTATTATGAATATTAATATGCATCCTTTCTTATTTATTTATCTGACAGTTCTTAGTAGTTCTAAATAATTGTCTCATAATGATATTAATTGTAGAACTTTGTTCTTTCAATAATAAATATATGTTTAATTGAACAAAGCACATAAAAATATGTATTTTTACTACAAGTTACAACTAGAGTAAAATTTACCTATATTTAAATATTCCAGTGTTCTGATACTATAGTATTAATAATAATCATGTTATATTCATTTTATACATATTTTTATAATGATATTCTACTGATGGTGAAATAAGTGGTTATATAATCACAGCTCATACTCAAGTTGAGACTGTCAAGTAATATTGAAGTAGACATTGATCTATTTGGGCTTCCAAATCTGAACCAAGTCTAAATAGCAAAACATCTGGCAAAATATTAAAGCTGAAGCCAAGCTTCAGTGTATCTATAATAGTACAGAACAGTACGCAAGACGACAGTCTGTCTAAAAAATAAAGATGTAGCAGGTGCCCGTGATAACATCAGAATACATACAAAAACAGGAGAGTTAATTATATTAATAATATGATCCAAACCACTTTCATATGAACTCTTTAGATTGTGAAGAACAGAGAGAGACCCAGCTGGGAATGGTGGCTCACATCTGTAATCTCAGCACTCAAGAGACTAAGGTAGGAGCTCAAGTTCAAGGCCAGTATAGGCTACATAGCAAGTTCACGGCATGCTTGAGCAGCATAGCAAGACCCAAGCTCAAAAAAATAAAACCAGAGACCCACTCTAACTAGCCCAGATAAAAGAAGTTGAGCATATGGATAAACATAATGTCAATGAAATCCAAGAACAGAAACTTAACAAAGCTAAAAGGGAGGAAGAAAAAACCGAGGAAGACTTATGTGTGCTGAGATCCACATCTAAATGATAGGGTATTAAATGCAGTGCCTCAAATTAATAGAACCAAGATGAAAGAAGGGAAAATTAAGTATGTATGTATATACAGGATAACTAACATAGTTGTACTACTGACTTCTATCACTTTATTGAAAGGAACCGTTAATGATTAATTATTTGATCAATCTTGTGTGTATATTTGTTTTCCTAACTAACCACTCTGAAGTTATCAATATGTAATACGACAACCATTGTTAATTCCCTGTCACCTTGTCTGTAATTCAGTATTGCTTGTACTATTCCTGTGCTACTTTGTAAATGGTTGTCTGTTTGTTAATATGTTTTCATTCTTTTACTTTTAAAATAAAAAAAAATAGAACCAAAATAAAACAGATTTCAAGATACTCAGGACTGAACAAAGAAAGTCAGCAGGACTAACAATAACTGCATTAAAATTAAAAGGGGAAGAGCAATAGCATAATACTCATACGATAAGGAAAATCAATAGATAATAACCTAATATAGCCAATGAACTATTCGCAGAACAAGTATATTACTACCAAAAGCACTAAAAACAGAGTCACTTAAAGATGGTTGCCCTGGGTGAGAACAAATGGGGTGAGGCAAGATATTTTCTTCTTTTATAAGGTTTTCTGCATCATTGTTTGTTTACATTCAAATTTCATGTATTACTTGGATAAGAAAATTTTAAACGAAATGGCTAATTGTACAGATGTTCTTTCCCCAGGATGTTTATGTCTGCATGCAGAGTTAAGATGTTGGCTTGTGTGTAACTTAACTCTCCTCACCACAGAGTACCTTGAGATGGGTGGGGATAGCCCGGGCTGGTGGATTCCAACAGGTTTCTTCCATGGTCCTGATATCAAAGGGCCACGCTTCTCCCTACAGCTATGCAATTGTCCCCGTTCTACTAGCAACTGTAACCTTGATTATTGCCCAAAGTGGAAAACTTCTATTTTTATTTTAAAAATCACATCCTTCCTCCAAAGGCAGAAAATTATTTCTCATTTACATGTAGTAACTCCCTCAGTTGCACAAGTCACTACTCCATGAAAATGTTCATTATTCTGTAAATGTGAATGGCTTTTAAAAACAAAGCCTTATTTTTTAAGTATACTTGCTTTCTTGTTGCTTAAGTGGACTTTGATGAAGGTAAGTTAACATACTGATTAGTAATTTTGTGCGTTAGAAATTTTATATAGATTTCATACCATTGTCAGCTTTTACTTAATGAATATTTAATTCAAAAGCTATGAAATACTAGGTAATTATAGCTCTACAAGAACACATATTGACATGCAGTTTAAAAGACTGAAAAGTGCCTTGTGCTTGCAATGAGTTTATAATTTAAACACAAAGAAAAATTTTAAAGTTGCCAATCAAATATTCATCAGAAGAAAGAAGGCAAGGAGGATCCCACTTCCTCCGGGCACATATGCAAAGGAGGTACTAAAAATAACACAGGCCAGGTTTGGCAAACCTTGTTTAGGCAAAATTCCAAACACATCAAAAAGAGCTGGTGGAGAAAAAATTTCTCTACCTGGGAAACAAGACCAACAGCAATCTAAGGATCAGGTTTGGGAAAGACTTGGGGGTGGGAAATAATAAGCAAAGGCCTTGGAAGTAGGAACAAATGCGCAAGTCCAAGAAGTTTGAATTTTGTGTCTTTATCCTTGCCTTTGCTATCTTTCCATTATTTGAGTTGTCTTTCAGTGTCTTGAACCTTGATTCACAAGCAGCCCAGCTCTTTTCTGCAGTCCAGAAGAAACTCATTCACCCTAACTTGTAAGGGACCGAATGGGTTGGAGGGGTGCATTTCAAAAGGGGAAGAAGTAAGAAAGGCATTGCTTAACCTATGACAGTATAACCTTTCACACCAGTGGGTAATCACCTTTTCTAGCAGAGGCTGGCCAGACATAAAAATAAATAAATAAATCAGCATCCTTTTAGCAATTTGCCCCACTGTTTACACAAGAAGTCTCTAGGCCAGTAGATCTTACGCAAATTTTAACATGCGTAAGAATTTTCTAGAACACTACATCTGACCAGTTACATGAGCTGAAGTTCTGAAATTTTGATTCAGACCAAGAAAATTATATTTCTACCCAGTACTGTAAGTCTGAAAAAAATCATTTGAAAAGTCACCACATTTCACTAAAAGACAAAGGAATTAAGAAATTTTCACATCTTCCCACTGCAGGGATATCCACCAATGGCAGTTTTCCGAGGTTTTTCTGACCTGTATTCTGTCCTCCTGTCTTACCTATGACTCGCCTGTAAAGATTCTCTTGCCCTTCCCGCCCATGCGAAGAAACCCCAATCTGCTCCTCACACGTCACTAAGCCTGCCCCTTAAGCTCCACCCCCTAACCAGAGTCTTTATAAACCCCAGCTCCCTTTGTGTAACCCCAGAGGGGATTCGTATAGCATGCTTCCCTGTTTTCTCCTGTCCAGAGTAAAAGCCTACTTTCTTTTCTTTGTTTCTCTTTCTGAGCCGGAAACCAAACAGATTCTAAAGGACGTTGGTCGTCTCATTTCCACGGGCACTGTCCCTGGTCAGCCCCTCACTGCGCAAGTCCTTCAACAGTCACTCGGAAAAGCACGTGCAGTTTCTGGAGAACTTAGCTGGAAATTAGCCCAATAATCCTGCACCCACCTTTAGCCCCCACAACCTGAGCAATGCAAAGTAACTTGGTTCAAAATTACTATTTCTAGTGTCTCAGATTTGCTGTGTGTTGGTTGGCTGCACTTGGCAGTTGGGTTCCATCTTTTCTGTTTGCTGATACAATAAATTACTTTAGTACTTCCCCTTTAATTAATTTAGTAATTAAAGAATTACTTTAGCAACTCCCCTTCACCTATTTTCAAGGCTTTGTCCTGCATCTGCGTCCACCCTCATCCAAGGAAATAGAATAAACTCACTATAGTAAAGATACTTAAAGCTGGAAAAGATGGGAAAGGCTACAAGATTCTTAAAAGCACTGCTTAAAAAAGTCCTTAATCTGCTTTTTCTCAAAAGCTCATTTTAATGTAACATTACTTGATCATAACATGACAAACACACTTCCTGAAACTGTGTCAAAATCCTCAGCAAAGAGAGTCATTCAGGGGGTCTATAAAGTATTTGTGGTTCATGAATTATGATTTAAATGAAAATGCAAAGTTCACAAATCTTCATGGAGTACCTGAGGATATGTTTAGAACTCACCCATATAAAAGTCAGTAAATATAGAATTCTTATCACTGCCACCTGCTGCCTATGCAACCCCATTGGTGACAGCTCATCTCTCGGAGCCTTGGCTCCAGCTACAGCAGTGTTAGCACAATATGGAACACAAACTGCCCTGAGAGAGACTGAGGCTGGAAGACCAGGTGAGGAATTACTGCAATGACCCAGGTATGAGCAGATGACGGTTAGGACTGGGTGACCAGTGGCAATTGGAGTAAAA